AAAAAAAAATAATAAATGAAGCATATAGAACTTCAAATAGCCAAGACCAAAATAAATCTACATAAAAGCATATAATAATCAACACTGCAGAAATTCAGCACAAAAGTAAAATATTAAAAGCAGCTAGAGAAAAGAAACAAATCACCAATAAAGGAAAGCCCATCAGGATCACAGCAGATTTCTCAGTACAAACCCTCAAATCAAGGAGAGCTTAGAGTGAGGTATTTCAAACCCTAAAGAAAGACAATCTTCAAAATGATGTATTCCATAAAACTGTCTTTCAAAATTGATGGGGAAATAAGATAACAACTGAAGAAATTTATGACCACCAAACTAGCTGTACAGAATGCTCTGAAGGACATAGTAAAGACCACAAACACATGAACACCGCTAGAAAGAAGCCGCCAGGCAGGGTGAACAATTACACAGAGGAAAAACAACATGAAAAATTAAACAGGGAACAAACAACAGGAAAACAACATAAAAAAAGAAAAGTCAACACATATCAGTTATAATTATTAATGTACATGGTCTCAACTCACCAAACAAAAGAAACAGACTGGCAGAATGGATCAAGAAGCAAGATCCAATGATATGCTTCATCCAAGAGATGCATTTAACCCAAAAAGAAAATTACAAACTAAAAGTCAAAGGATGGAAAATAAACCTCCGTGACACAGGAACCTAGAAAAAATCAGGGGCAGCTATTCTAATTGCAGAATATGCAAACTTTAAGCCAAAACTAATCAAAAGAGAAAAACAAAGTCACTACATACTTGTTAAGGGAAAACTCCAAGAAGAAGAGATAACAATCTTAAATATTTAGGAATCAAATACAGGTTTACCCAATTACATAAAACAAATATTAACAGACATGAAAAATCAAATAAGCACTAACACAATTGTAGTGTAGGACCTTAATACCCAACTCTCACAAACAAATCAACTAGACAAAAAAACCAACAAATATTAGAATTAAACCAAGCCCGTGAACAAATGGACTCAACAGATGTCTATGGAGCATGCCACATCAAAATATCAGAATACACGTTCTTCTCAGCTGCACACAGGACTTTCTCAAAAACAGACCACATATTAGCCCACAAAACACATTTAAGCAAATGTAGAGGAACTGAGATCATTCTATGCATACTATCTGACTATAGCACAGTGAAACTGGAAATCAGTGACAAAAGAAGTGACAAAAAACTACATAAACACATGGAAATTAAACAACACCCTTCTGAACAACCAATGGGTCACATTCTCCTTAATGAACAAAGGCACAAAAATACTCAATAAGACACTGGCAAAGAGAATGCAGCAAATCATTAAGAAGATTACACACCATGACCAAGTGGGATTCATCCCAGGGATGCAGGGATGGTTCAACATATGCAAATCTATACATATAATATACCATATTAACAGAACAAAAGACAAAAATCATATGATCTTCTCAATAGATGCAGAGAAAGTATTTGACAAAGTCCCACAGCCATTCATGATAAAAATCCTACAGAAAATTGGAATAGAGAGTCTTTGTCTTAATCTGATAAAAGCCATCTATGACAAACCAACAGCTAACACCATATTAAATGGTCAAAAACTGAAAGATTTCATTCTAAAATCAGGAACAAGACGAGGATGTCCACTATCACCACTCCTATTCAATATAGTTCTGGAAACATTAACCAAAGCAATTAGACAAGAGAAAGACATAAAAGGAATAAGGATAGGAAAGGAAGAAGTTAAATTATTATGTGAAGATGACATGGTACTTTATGTAGAAGACCCTAAAAGCTCCACCAAAACACTTGTAGATTCAATAATCAATTCAGTTGCTAGATACAAAGTCAACACTCAAAAATCAATAGCATTCCTGTACACAAGCAACAAACTCAGAGAGAGAGAAATTAGGGAGACCACCCCCTTTACCATAGCATCCAAAAAAAAAAAAATTAAATGCTTAGGAGTCACTCTAACAAAAGAAGTAAAAGATCTACACATTGAAAACAACAGTACTCTGAAAAGGAGCTCAAAGAATATATCAGAAAATCAAAAGCTACTCCTTGCTCGTGGATAGGAAGAACCAACATAGTGAAAATGGCCATACTCCCAAAACTGTTACACAGATTTAATTCAATTTCAATGAAAATACCATTAGCAGACCTCACAGAACTAAAGAAAACATTCCTAAAATTCATTTAGAACCAGAAAAGACCTAGAACAATGAAAGCAATTCTGGGCAACAAGGGAAAATCAGAGGGCATCACAATCCCTGATTGGAAATTATACTACAACGCTAATGTGATAAAATCAACATGGTATTGGCAAAAAAATCAAACCTGAAGATCAGTGGAACAGAATAGAAGATGCAGATGCAACTTCAAACACACTTATCTTTGACGAAGGAGCCAAACATGTTCACTGGAAAATAGTCTCTTTAATAAATGGAGCTGGCAAAACTAGCTTGCCACATGCCAAAGACTAAAACTAGACCCATGTCTATCACCATGCACTAAAGTCAAAATTGATCAAAGATCTAATATTAAAAGAAATACTAAATATACTGGAAGACAAAATAGGTAGAAATCTTGAAGACACATGTGTAGGCAGAGACTTCATGAACAAAACCCAGACTGCAAAGGAAATACTACAAAGAATCAACAAATGGGATCTCACCTTATTAAAAAGCTTCTGCACAACAAAAGGAATCACTAACAAAGGGAAAGAACAACCCACAGAGTTGGAGAAAATTATAGCCAGCTGTCCATCAGGCAAAGGACTTATATCTAGAACATACAAAGAATTGAAAAAAATCAGGACCCCAAAATTCAAAGAACCAATCCAAAAATGGGCATCTGAGATGAATACACATTTCTCAGATGAAGAAATACAAATGGCAAATAAATATATAAAAAATGTTCAACATCACTGGTCATTCAGGAGATGCAAATTAAAATAATACTGAGATTCCATCTGCCCCCAGAAAGAATGGCTATCATCAAGAATTCAACCAACAGCAAATGCTGGAGGGGCTGTGGGGAGAAAGGAACTCTTCTCCTCTGTTGGTGGGAGTGTACACCACTGTGGAAATCAGTCTGGAAATTCCACACAAAACTAGGATTAGAGGCCCCCCTTTGACCCAGCTAGTCCCCTACTGGGCATCTTCCCAGAATAATTTAAAACCTCATACCACAGCAACACATGTGCACTCATGCTTATAGCAGCACAATTTGTAATAGCTAAATCTTGGAAACAACCCAAATGTCCATGAGCCGAGGAATGGATAAGAAAGTTGTGGGGGGTTTTTATATAATGGAATACTACTCAGCCATAAAGAAGGTAAACTTGCAACTTTTATAGGTAAATAGATGCAACTTGCAACCATTCTCACAAGTGAAATAAATCAGACCCACATTTGTAAACACATTGTCTCATTAATGTGAAAAACTGAAAGAGTAAATAAGATCTAAAATGTACAAGAGATATTGTGACTAAGGAAGAAATTGTTCAAAAGAAAAAAATTATGATGGGAGTAGGGGAAAAGGAAGGAAGGAAAAAGAAATACATACACACACACACACACATGATAGGTAACATAGTTATACAACTAGTTTTTCTTAGTTCACTGAAAAGAAGGTTTTGTGCTAATACTCCTTTGGACAATATTTCATGCCTATATCTTTTATTCTGAACAACTACTCTGAAAATAACAATATGCAATGTATTAATTATTGTTACTCTCCTATCACACTGTTTTGAAACTGTTTTGTTATTTTTTTCTGTTCAAAATAAATAGAGTATGTCTACCTATATTGCCGCACTGCAAAGAACTACAGCTTGCACCATAACATCTACAAAGACATGTAAAAATGAAACTGCAAACATATTTTACTTATCTTGAGGCAGTGTGCACAGACTACTGTAATTTGAGATTTCTCTTTCTGAATGCAACTTGGGTTTCACCTATCAATTTCCCCCCTCCGCCAGACCTTCTCCCACAATACTGGTGCAGTACATTCTTCCTAAACTTAACATACACTGGTGAAGTCCAGAAGAAATAATAGAAAATAGCAGAGAGAAACAGTGAGGCAATAAAGAGACAATAACAGACTAAAATGAAATGAATGAGAGAAGAGGAGAATGGGAAGACTGAAAAGTAGGATAGATAACGGGATCCATCTCAGTCACTGCCTTACCCTGTCACAGAGCAGCTACTCTGACACCTCAGTTTATGATCTGGGGAGGACGGCTGCATTTGTGTTTGTGTGGGGAAGATGGGTTTGTCACCCCATAGGAGTTTGCAACCAGAAGCAATGTTCTGCTAACACTTGCAAACAGAAACATTCATGAGCTGAGGCATTTCTGCTCTTATCATGTGTTTGCTTATCGAGTGGACGGTGCGGCCAGTTGGTTTAGTACATGCGGGATCATCTGTAAGGTCAGGAGCATGAAATGCATACCACACTTTTATTTGAAAACTTCTGCCACCATCAGGTCTCTTTTCACTGCCCTTGAAGAAGTCTGTCACAGGATGTCTTAGGGAAGACACTGATAGGAGTTAATATGGAAGAGATGTGGAGGAAAGGCCTTCTGGTTTTCCACCTATCTTGACGGTATATGCAGATAAATTCTTCCCAATCCTGACCTCAGATGCCCACAAACATACGGATACAGGATCCTCAAAGTCACCCACTAATGGTACCAGTGAAGGTTCCGCTCCTTCCCACAGAGGAAAAATCCTATTTCTGATGAGCAAAGGCTCCCTATCAACTGATGTTTGGCCCTGTATTCCTCCTTTTCACTTTGTGCCAACTTCCTCTTGAAGTCCTTTTCCTCTTAAACCCAAGCTGACTACATGAGTGTGATGGTTGACTCTGGCGTCAGCCTGAATGGATCGGTAGCTGTCTGGACAGCGGCGGGCAGTGACCCTGGGCATCTGTGACATTTCCGAAGGAGATGGGTGCATCTGGTGGTGGATGAGGGGGAGACCAGCCCACACCGTGAGCGTGCACCAGCCAGGTAGCTGCGGCCCGGAGTGACCAAGGCAGAGTGAAGGTCTCTCCTCCGCCTGGCTGGGCCCTGCAGCTCCGGGCTCTCTGGCCTCGTCCGCACTCCAGGACTTACACCAGCAGCTGCCTGGGTTCTCAGGCCTTCAGCCTCACTGGGAATCACACCACTGACTTCCCTGGTCGGTCCTCGGGCATTCAGACCAGCACTGAGGCACACGATGACACCCAGGGCCGTCTCCAGCCTAGGGACTTCCCTGGTCGGTCCTCGGGCATTCAGACCAGCACTGAGGCACACGATGACACCCAGGGCCGTCTCCAGCCTAGGGACTTCCCTGGTCGGTCCTCGGGCATTCAGACCAGCACTGAGGCACACGATGACACCCAGGGCCGTCTCCAGCCTAGGGACATCCTGCCTGGACGCCTGAGCCTCCAAAACCACCCTTGCCAAGTCCCTTAATAAATTCTCTCTCCTGTCAATTTCTCCTCTCTCTGGAGAGCCGTGACTAACACAAAAAGCAACAGTAAGACTTTCTCAAACCACAACTGCTTGCCTGAAAACCTCGGTAGGATGGACAGGCCTGACCCACTTTCACAGGACAGGGACTGCAAGTCCTCAGGGCACAGACGCTGTGGCTCCGACCGAGCACCTCTGGGTGCCTGGGATCCCGACGAGGCTGGCTGGGGAGACAGCACTGCCACCCTGACGGAGGCACCCAGGGTTTGTATCAGTTCACACAGCAGCGGTCCTGGTCCACCCTCACAGGGAATGAGCTGCCCCTCCGCTGGCCAGCCAGAACTCACCTCGTGTCCACACAGGCTGATGTTGAAGAAGTGGAAGTACTTTGTCCCTTTGGAGGTGAAGCTTGGGCCGTTCATTAGCGAGCCTACGCTGCTGAGGTTGCTGAAGTCATAGTGCAAGCTCTGGTTTTCTCTTTCGTGGGAGAAGAAGCAGTCACTGTAGCAAACTGAATGGTCCTTTGTTTGACAATGAAGAAACACACAGAAACAATATTGCAGGAAAAAGGCATGAACTCCTGCTGGAACATGTCTCCCAAAAGTTCTAGCTATAAAATAGGCACTTCTGTAATTTTAGTTCTATGTTACCATGTTAGTATAAGCTCTAAACTCTAGATTTCTCTAGGAAAAGCTCAGAGGATGCAGATCTTTTAGTAAGTTAGTTTCTTACAGAAAGGTATTTTAAGGAACACAACAAAACTACTTCCTCCTTCACCCTAATATAACATTAATCTTTGTCTTTAAAACATCGTAAATTATCCCCAGGGCTTCCCAAATAACCCCTACAGCCAGCCCACAGTAGTGTTTGCTTGCTGTGCATAACAATGCCCAAGAAATCAGTTTTATTATTGTTGGAAAACTATATTTGAGTGCATGTCTTACTACATGTATCTTTATGTCCATGGTGATTTGCATTTTCATAGCACATATTCAGTGCTCAATAAATGTAAGGGAAGGAGAAACAATACAGGGAATTGAAAGGATGTTTGTTTTTCAGAATACATCGCAGCTCCACAGCTTGTGGGGATCCTCGAGTCTCCCCATAAAGCTCGCTGCTGTGGGGTGACGCCACGCAGCTGCTCACCTGGCTGCTCTTGCTCCCAGGTCCACAGGGAATGCACGCCTCCTTGCCGTAGACCTGGTGGGTGGACAGGCGGGTGTCGGGCGGACACTCTTGGCACTGGTTGGCTTCTTTCTCAATGTAGTGGCCTGGGGGGCAGGGGACACACGATGAGCCCGACTGCTCAGAGCCCAGGGCACAGGCGCGGCAGGAAGACGCCACCCCATCGACTGCGTTAGTGGCTGTGATGGAATAGATCTTCACCACATCCTTGATGAACCGTCTGTTCTAGAGAGAGAGCAGAAAGGGGTGACTCCTGCCGGGGCTCCAGGGCACAACAGACTGGCTCCACGCTGATGCCACCAAATGACTAAGCAAGGTTCGGACCAGGAAGTTTATAACTGATCCAATCCTACTGGATTCTTCTTTAAAGAAAAAAAAAAAACCCTTAAATCTTGACATAAAACTCTTCCACAGTAATGCCACAGTCGCCATGAGCTTGTCGTACACGGTATAAACTCAGCACGTTTACACCGGGAGAACGCTGCTCTTTGACAGAGGGACGACCCGGTCTGCATCACTGTTGCTCAGGTCCAAGTCTAGATCTAACGGTGCCCTCCTGTGCTGACAGAATGGCAGGGTGGAGCAGCCTGGCACCCAGGGATTAGGGGGTCCTGGAGGTCTAGGACCTGGGTTCCTCACTCAAACCCTGCCCTGGGCCACTGGCGACCACACCCCAGCCTGAGCCTCCTCCACTCTCGCCCTTGCGCTGGTCAGCGCACTGACTTCGACTACAGGTGTGGGATGGGAAGCAGGATCCTGCTCTTGCTGTATTTCTCCTTCCTGTGACAGAGCCAGACAAGGCCAGCTTTCATCCAGCAGTGGGCAGCCTTGTCTAAGCACGCTTTACCCAGACCACCTGATGCTTCCTACCTAGGCAAAAATAAAAGGCAGGCAAGCGGGGCAGGGCTGCATCCGCGTGCACGCCCACAAGGTGGGGTCAGAACCCTCCAGAGGAAGTGGAGTCAGATGAACTCCAGGGTTCCCCGCAAGCCCGAGGGGAAGAACGACAATGCGCTGCACGGCCCCACTCGTGAAGGCCACTTCCGCACACAGGACTTGCCTTGCTCTCATCTTGGAGGTCCGTCTGTGGAGACCACAGAACCAGTCCTGCTACTACTGCGGCATCTGGCGGGATTAACCCAGGGGAGGGCCCGCGCTGTTCGACCGGGGAAGGCGAGGAAGGACTCCTGCACCGTGCGTCTGCCCCATCGCATCTACATACATGTCTCCAAAGCAGACACTACCACCGTGAAACAGTACGACATTCAGTTCCACACATGGCTCCGGAAAAAGCCAGATCATCCGGCCAAAGAGGAGGAGAGCTACCAAACTTTCCAGGCTCAGAAAGCTTTGAAGCAAAATTTCAGATAACTACAAAATTAATTTTCTTTGAAGATTTAAGCTACTATATTTGTTCAGAATTTATAATAATTCAAACTTACACTATGTGATTCCATTTCGCACATTCTTACTTCAAGAAGTACAAAATACACCGTCACACCGCAATTCCCCACATAACCGGATGCCTACACAGCAGCACAGCGCTGCCTCTTCCCGCAGTCGCTCTGCACACCGCTGCACAAGGGCACCCTGGCCGTGCGTGCAGAAGAGACGCCGCCTGGCACTTACATCCTGGCCCTGGTTGGTCCTCTGGAAGGCCCACGTGAACGTGAATGTGGCATTCTTGAAGATGAGGTGAGTGTAAGCTTGTTTTTCTTTGGTTCCACCCCATGATTCCACCACATTGGTACTTTTTCTATTAATATCCTAAAACAGTGAGAAAATACAAAGCGCCAACTCAGTACTGACATACATGTGCTCACATTACACATACGTGCTCGTGGTTCTTCACGTTAACCCACAGTGCAGGGAACCCTCCACCCCTCAGGCTCCGTCTGCCCACACGGGCACCTCATCTCCGTGCTGCCACGGATGAGCCACAGGGTCAGGACAATCCGGAAGGGTCCCCAAAGTGGGGCACGTTTGAGGGTTAGGTTTTGTTTGCTTGTGTGTTGTATGTGCGACTCTAGCTTGGAATACACGCCAACAAGGAAAGATATAAGACCTCAAACTCCTCACAGAGTGCTTCCAGCATCCTTATCAAATGGGAAAGCTCTCCATTTTCATCTCTCTCCTTCCAAGTTGGGTAGACAGCTCCTGTACAGAAATCCTAAAACCCCCTGAATTGTACTTGGATTCTACAGGCTCACCTGAAGGCAGGCTAGACAAAAATGGTATTTTACGCACTCCTTCATATCCAAAGCATTTTACGTTAGTTAATTTGGTATCTCCAAAGCTCCAGTGTAAAGAAAATTCTCCTACAGGAAGCAAAACTCTGGGATTGGTTTGTTAAGGTGAGTAGCACGCGGCCCCTGCCCTGGAGATTGCCCAGTCAAGCAAGGCAAACGTATTTACCTGGTGGAGGTGGGACTGTTTTCCCAAGGGGCCTAGGGAGCATACGGGAGGAAGTGGCTAATTCCACTTAAAGGAATGAGCGAGCCTCCCAGCAGAAATGAAGCTGGAGCGGCCCTAGAAGCACAAATGGGAGTGCAGGAAGAAGAGTGAATGGAGGGACCCAGCTCAGCATGCAGGGCTGGGAGAGGCCAAGGGCAGAGTGCGTATCCACACGTGCACTCACGGGACGGTGGGAGCAGCCCACACAGCTGCGCTCACAGACGCCGGGGAAGCGCGGAGGGCGCTGTAGGGGATCATGCGAAGGAGATCGCGTGTGTCCCCGGGCTGCCAGTTCCCAAGCTATCAGAGTCACACACAAGGCTTTCTGAAACCCAGACTGCTGCACCCACCCCACCCCGGAAGACAGGAGGGGACCCTGCAATGTGCATTTCTGACACACAGTTAGAGCCAGGGTGCTGGTGCTGCTGGGCAGCGACCCCGAGAATCACTGCTGCAGGCACCGAGAAGTCACCGCCCGGAAAGCGTGGGTGGTGTTTATGTTTACGGGACAGTGCTGACAGCAGCCGATGAGGGTGGAGACGAGAGGAGCGGGGATTACTGAGTGGTCCAACTGCGGCGCTAGGAGCCTGAATCCCAGCAAGGGCCCTGGGTTGGACCCTACAGATGAAATAGGGGACACAGCTGGGAGAACTGAAGACCCGTGTGATGCCATCGACAGATGTAGCGAAGACAATCCAGGAGCTTCTTCCATCACTACAAAGTCAGCACCGTTTTCAGAAGAAAACAGTCTGCCTCACTCACACTGTCAGCAAGCACAGGGGAAAGGTTTACATCTTCACACACCCCGGGGCGCTATGGACCAACTGGAAATGGGCTGCCGAAGAGCTCCTAGAGGGTCACCAGGAAAACAAGCAAGCGCATGAAGTCACTGGGGGCGGGCAAGTTAGAATCTTAGCCAGCGATCCTCTAAAACACACGAGAGGTCCCGCGAGCCGAGAAATGCTACTCTTCTCAAGCAAGAAACTGGTGTCTACATCGAGTCCAGAAAAAATGGCAAAATCATAGATGCATGAAGTCCTTTGTCTAAGTGCATGAAACTTCACAAGCAAGAGTGTCCTGGCTTCCTCTCTACTTCCACTATCTTCTGCCTTCACTCATTAATTCATTTCTCCCCCTGGCAGCTTAAATCGAAGAACGCTTATTAGAGCAGAATTTCACTTCTTCCTGCTGAATCCTACACACTGATATTCCCTGGCCTCCATCGCTCACAAGCACCCTCGCTTACTTCTCTACACAAGCGAATGCCTGCTTTCTCCCCTTTCTGCACCATTCTTAGTGACTTCTACAGACATTCTGTAAAATGTTTTTAGAAAGCCCTAAGGATAGCAAGAGATGGGACTCCTGCCTCCACGTGCATAAATAAACCACACTTGAAAGAGAACGCAGACTCCGAAATCTGCCTCGGGAAGCCGCTCTCCACTCACCACCATGAAGTACAGGACACAGTCGGCGGAACAGAGCATCTCGAAGACAAACGCTATCCTGCCCAGCTCCGAGCCTGTGGCTCCTGTCAGAGACGTCGGAGGCCTGTGTGACAGATTACATTGCGGTATTTATGACCCAAATACCACTGGAGACAATGTGAAGCCACTTTCTGCTAAACTGAAAGCCACGCCCCCCTCTCCCCCACCCGTCCTCCTCTCCGGTCCAGGACCCGTCCTTCCCAGAGCACTGCCCTCCACACCCTCCAGTGTGCGGTCTACACAGCCCTCCCAAGCAGAGGCTACTGTGGACCCCGGAGCAGGAACAAACTCTCACTGGGGAACGTGAACATGGGGCACTGAGGCAAAGCAAGATTTACCAGTGTACAACACACTGCTTTATAAACAGAGCTGGGAAAAAACAAATCCTGCTATCATCCTAGACTGAGACTCCTCATTAGCAAACAGGAGCTGTGGTTATTACAGCTTTGAATGCTGAAAATCTCCAGCTTAATCTAAGGAACAAACAGCGTGATAGTCTCCCAGTCACAGATTTTACAGCTATTCTTAAATATATCACTGTGACTGCTCATCATAAGTACACTGTAACATTAATACATTCTGTAAGGCCAGTCCCACTTCATCTATTTCTGTGGGAAGCAGAAACAAAGATTCTTACAGAAAAGAATCAGAATTGGTTTTCCTTACTTAAATCCCGGGACGTGCAGGTTTAGGATCAGGTAGTCATTGTCGGAGCCTCCAGCTCCACTCTGGATATGATCTCCAGCCACCTCCCAACCTGGAAGTAAGAGCCATTTTTATCAGTAAAACTGCCATCAGTGATTTCCAAAAATCCCTCTAAATCAAGTAAAAGTAATATGCAGAACTAAGATTGACATGCAAAGTTGGACACACTCCACAGTAACTGCAGCCTTCCATGCAGTGTACAGGGCACACAGCCCCAAGCCCCGAAGGACAGGAGCCCTCGGCGGCAGCTCCGCGCTCACCGTTCATCCTGTCACACTTTGAGTTGCCCACGTTGAAGCAGGAGGTCTTCATGTTACTGGGGAGGACGTTCCACCACTTGTACTCAAACCCCAGGGCTGGCTCCGTTCCCGCAGGACAGGGTCTGCACTCTGCACAAGACAAGGGCCGCAGACCTGCGTGACCGCATCTGGACACTGCCTCCTCTGCTCCCCACACACGCAGCACACGGGCGTGGGCCAGACACCAGTTCCCTTGGAATTAGTAAGTGCCTCAAAAGCAATCGTGAAGGAACTTCTGGGCATGTACGTGTGGGTGTATTTGGCATCTTTTGCTTATTTGCGGCAGACGTGCACACACTCAACATACTGGAAAAGGATGGCTTATCCTTACATATTTCAAGTGAAATGTAAATCTTCCTCACCGATATCTAAAGGCAAGTGCTTTGCCTGAAAACAGTGGTATACAAAATGACATTAAAATAGCTGTCCTCACGCCTCAACAGGCCACATGGTCTCACAATTTCACTCACCTACCTCTCAACTCTTCTTCAGCCTCAAGAAGAAAGTTATCTTTTAAAGAGTTCTTCCACAAGAACTGTTTAGAACACGGCCCCTGCAGCCCAAGCAAACTGTCTTGCTCTGCTGTAACACACAGGTAGCCAGGGACACCCGACCTACCCTTTGTGCCATCTGAATACGTCCCGAGAGGGCAGGGGTGACAAGAAGACGATCCATTATTGTAGAATCCGGGGTTGCATGGAGGACAATCCTTCTTCTCTCCAGAAGGGGGCAGTCGAATAGCATCTGTGAGGTCCTCCCTGCAGATTTTGGGCTCTATCCACTTGTACATTATCTGTGTCTGGAAAAAGCAAATCAAGCAGGCAAGTCACATAACATGCTCATAACAAGGATGGAAAGCTGGCAGCATAGTAAATGTGAATGCAGTGGCAGAAGAGGGGTCAGCTGCAGAGGGTCTAAAACAGCACTGACAAAATCACCTTGCAAACAAATGTAGCTAACGGTACCCTCACTCACGTGGACAGCAGGCTCCTCCTCAGGAGACCCCTTTAAAGCAGATGGCGTGGTCACTGCCCATCCCCTCCGGTCCATCATCCACTCACACCCCGACTTAACCTTCCTCATCTGAAACTCCACACCTCGCCGTTTCTCTGCCCGGCACATACCACCGTGCCTTGCACACAGTCACCACAGAAGCAAAAGGTTTTCTTTCCAGATACAAGACCTTCGTGCCTAACAGTCCATCAACACTGGCGTGCTCTCTCCGGGTCTTTCTCCAGACCCTGACGTGAGACTTGCTGCGCTCTGAGGGTTCCAGAACCTGAGCCACCGCTCTGCCTGCAGGATGCCCTGGAACCCCAGTCCTCCCCCTCCCCCATGTGCACGCACCCCGCACAGAAAAAAGCAGAGAGCAACCCCCATAAGTGTTACCAAATTAGTTATTCTCACTTGAAATCTGAACTATGGAAAGGGTTAAAACAAAATTGCCATGTTCCATGAGGAAAAAAGAAGGTATTCCGGTACAAACCAAAAAGCAAACTTTCATAACACAACCTAACTTTTTAAAGAGACTAAGTGTTCCTTTCATTAGACATGTAACCTGTTGAAAGTATTTGACTTTTAGGCAACTCCTGCAAGAGGAAGTCTACTACAGAAGCCAGAGAACCAAGTTAAGGGGATTCAGTACGCCGGTTTCCAGTTGGTAGAGACTCACGTGTGGTAAATGCACTCAACTTTATCTCAAGGACAGTGAAGAGTAGATTACCTCACATGAGGCAGGGTGTCAAGAAATGCCTTAAAGGTAGAAGTCTCAACAGAATTATAAACAGCATTCTTGTTTTTATAGCGGCCTTCTCCACACTGCTGCTATGGCTTATGTCATGAGGCACTGCTCCAGCTCTGCTGTTCTGTGAGCCGGGGATCCTGCGCAGCGAGAAATTTACCAGATACTCCATCCATCGGGCAAACCCCAAATTGCATATAGAAAGGCAATACAGAGGTCAGAGGACCTAAACTAATGCAACAGTGATTATTTGGGGAGTTGACTGTTAAAATTCTGATTTAACAAGTATAGAACACAAGTTTCAGTGTCTAGCCAACACCCAAATTTCCCAAGTTATTCTGGCATTGATAAAGGCGTGACCTTCTCCTACGTTCTTGGAACAGCTGACTTCCAGGCGGAACACAGGTCAGCGCTGCCACCAGCACCACCACAATCTCCTCACACCTGGGGAGGCACATATGCTAATCATCACAGTCGTAAGTGTGGAAGACCCTGAGCAGGGCCGAGAAGGCACCTGCCCAAAGTCAGGCACACTGAGTAAGTCGTGAAGTAGCACCAGTGGAGGAGAATCAGTTTGGAAAGGACAAAAAACAGTAAAATACAAAAATCCACTTTGCGAAGCCATCTAGCCACATGACTTCCAATAGGAACAAACAAGTGGGATCAGGAAATGCAGAACAAACACCTTTAAACACAGACGTGTGTGGAAGCTACGTTTCAAAGGCTCTGCAGTGGAAGTTGTGTTCACACAGAGCCTCTCGCTCATGCAGCAGACTGGCTCTGTGTCTTTCTCATGGGGACAGGTGCTTTCCTATAGCTGCCTGGGAAACACAATAATCAATATTTATGAAACTTCGCTCCAAATGGCTTGCATAGCAGGTGAAATGCCAACCATCAGCTCATTCTGGGCCAAGCTGAGACACAATCATGGAATGGTTTTTATGAAACCAAAACTCTAGCAGAGTCAAATTTACTACATTTGCATTAAGATCACAAAGGAGCTATTTATGCTACTTACAAAAGGTACTTATGTTCAGCAGGAAAACCACACACAGAGGGTCTGGAGGGGCTCAGCGGCAAGTGCTGCATGGCACGTGCAAGCCCTGGGTTTGACCCGGTCACTGGGAAAACAACGCGCTGGAAACAAGTGGAAGCCGATTCTCAGACCAAATAAAATTCAAGGCGAGGAAGACGACATTCAGACAACTTCTGAGGCTGGATTTGTTCCCCGCGGCCCGGTGTCTTCCTGCAACCGTCACTGCGCAAGTGCTGAAGGCTTCGCGGGCTGCTGCGGTTCATCAGCGCTAAATCCCATCTGCCTTCACGGGCGCGCCGGCCACTCTGCTCAGGCCTCAGCCCCCAAGCCCTGACCTTCCCAGGTCCCAGCCTGAAACACAGGTCAGCGCTCCTGGAACGAAAGCCTGAGGATGATGGCTTGGGTGATGTCGTCTCAGGTCAGTGTCCAGAAAGGAAATGAAACCAAAGAACCCCAGACCGGAGGAGCAAGAGAGTTGACAGCCAGCCTGCTGCTACAGCTTCCCAGGCATGGGAGCCCCTCCACCTGGTCCTGTTTCACACTGGTTTGAGTCAGGGTTCTTGTCCAGCTTCTGAAAACTTGTCTTATATTTACTTTAACACACAATTTCATAATTGTCTCAAGCATGGAAGCAAAACTGTCACCATGCTCAGCCACCACTGAAAGGACACATGTGGCTCACAAAGCAAGGGACGCCCACCACTTCCCACCTGGAACACACACTCCCATATGCGCATGCACCTCTGCCTAGGTCTAGTGTCCAAAGTACATAAAAGTCTCAAGCCTTTCTGCAAGTTGCTAACTACCAAGCAGAAATGACCACACCCCCTTGACCCCAGCAAGCTAACCTGAGACCACCTTTAAGACTTGCTTGCTGGGCACAGTGATGCATGCCAGAAATCCTAGCACTCTGGAGGCTGAGGCAGGAGGATTGCTGCAAGTTTGAGGCCACTGGACTACAAAGTGAGTTCAAGGCAAGCCTGAACTACATAGTGAAACCCTTTCAAAAAGAGCCCCCCAAAAAGACTTGCCGCCCCCCCAACAGCTCAGGTGCAAACTTAGCATTTCTACATTCTGGGGCAGCCTCCTCATGCCTTTGAACATCTGCTGCTTCTTTCCATTTGGTAAGACAAATCTAAATCTTGGATCCCTTAGAAATCTTTTTTTGCAAGTGAATATTTTCTTTTCTAAATGCTTCTCTGAGACATTCACACAGATTGATGTTGGTTTTGCTAATTTGGGCCCCGTGGCACAGTGCACAGGAGTCCCTGTGCGTCTCCACGGCGTCCTTCTCGCCCGCCTCATGAACCCACAATTTGGTGTTTTCCTAGAGTCTTCATGGAGTCAAAGGTTTTGAAAGTAAGGTACTTAGTTCATGTTCCTCGTTGTATGTGTTAGGATATGTATAACTTGTTATGTCTATATTCTTAGGGCAAATCCAAGGTACCACACTCCTGCCTCATATCCAGCTACGTAAGCAAACATCTTAGATGCGGGGCTTCGATCTGCCAGGTACCCGCTTAATCCCACCATCAGCCCACAGCCTGCCGTACTGTTCATGGGGAGATCATGAGAAGTTTTACCGAACATTCTTCCAATGTTAAATCACATACTCTCTTGAAAAGCACTTGCCCAAGCTGGGGCACGGTAGCACATGCCTGTCATCCCAGCTTTCGGCACACTGAAGGAAAAAGTCAAAAAGGAAGAGAAAAAAAGGAAGGGATGAAGGGAAGGAGGTAGGACGGGCAGGAGAAGGGCTTGCCCTGTATCACCCATCATGGCTGTGTTCATGTTTAAACCTCAAGTACTGAACTGAACACAAACGTGTGTGCACCTACATAGGTGTACTGACATAACGTCATGCAGCTTTTGTGTACTTTCATATTCGCTCACATAAAATACTTTTGTGTATTGGATCTCATTCATTTAAGCCTCAGAAATGCTGAATTAATTATTATCACATAGAATAAACTAAATTTAGTTTTTTCTTTCTTACTAATAAGGAGAAATTAGTTGAAAAATGTTCAGCTAAAAACTACCAAATTACTCTTAAACCAAATTAGCGATCCCCCCACACATATCTCCTAAGTAAAGCACCCTTGGTGGGTCATTATTGTCAGGCCGAGACCTTACTTTACAACTCCTTGTCAGCTAACAGCTGTTACTTTGAGTTGCTTTTCTTACTGCAGGTAACAGTGGCACTTCTTATCACTGAAACTGCTCACTACTTTAAACTAGAATGTACTTGGTCATAAGGATTCAAATGAATATTTTTTATGACTAAAATCACATATAATCAAAATATAGATTAGAACCCAATGATGCAGAGTTAAATTCTAACTTTACTAATTTCCAAACTGAGTTTCAAATGTCATTACTTCCAAGGTGCAAGCACATCAGGAATGCAGTGAGACACTTTAACTTCAGATATTCTGCAGTGACACAGGCCAGTACAGACAAACTCCTTCATTAAGAGAAAGGCAGGCTGACCACAGGGCCCATGCACTCATCTTTCCTCTGGCTAGATGTCATTTGCGTTGTAACTGTGACACATCTTCTAATGCACTTACACAGCAATCTGTAATAACTGAACTAGCTTAGGCTGCACAACTTCTATGCGTAGAACCTGAGGAACTAGACAAAGTGACAAGTTATCTCCATCCTCTGAGTTGCAGTACGAACTCTAAAGCTGTGCTCTGCCTGATGCTATTACTTCTGGAAAACTGACAGAAACACAGCAGTAACTAATGGAGCACTCCCGCTGTACCCAGCACCAGGCTGGGTGCTGCACGCTGAGTCTCATATATTCTCACAGCAGCCTCACCATGCCAATGTCAACCCACTGCACAGACGGAAAAGCAAAGGCTTACAGACATGAAATAATTTGCCAACAGAGCAAATAAGCAGCAGATCTGGAAGTCAAAGCCAGGACAGCAGCTTCAACACCCGAGCTTCAGATCTCCTGTGTCCTGCACACACGTGTCATGAACAAGGTCCTCCATGAGCACTCAGAGTGTGCGCGGACGGGGCAGGGATCAGGCAGACAGGATGCAGTCGAGCGCCGCGCATACCTTGCCTTCCGCGTCGCAGGCCGTGTGGATCTGGAAGTAGTCCTTTGTGGTACAGGGAGGACGTTCCATACACTTGCTGGACCCTTCCTCTGCAACGCAAAACAGCATCTCAGAAACTGGCCATTGCCTCTGCAGCTCAAGGAAAGGGCAAAAATCAAAACCAAAACGCAAACCACAAAGTAAAAAAAACTAACCAGAGCAATTTAGGTAGAACTAGCTCTTCCCAGAGAAAACAAAGGCCTACATGTCTATTCTCCCCGCAACAGTAAGTGTTTCCAGGAGCATATCATAGTTTTACCCAGAAAACATGAGATTTCTTCCATGAGCAGCAAACACTGGAAATTTGGAAAAAAAATGAATACTTTCTAAGAACATCTCTATGCCAACAAGTTGCCTAGAAGTGGGAAGTGTTATGCTGACAGAACGTACGCAGAGCAGTTACTCGTGGGGCACGGACCGGAGGAAAACCACCGTCGGCAGGGGCCGCACAGGAAGGGATGACCCAGGCCATGCTTCCCCGGCACTCCGGGGACCACCACGTAGTCACCCGCTCCTGACTTGTGAGCCGGTGCGCCACCCACCTGAAAACTGGGAGTCCTCGTCACAGCGCACACACTCCGTGGCTCCCTTCTCCGAGTAGGTGTTCCTGGGGCACACCTGGCAGCTGAAGGAGCCTGGCTTGTTGCTGAACGTGCCAGGCTTGCAGGGGAAGCATTCGGAGGTGTAAGCCACCCCTGTGTGCACACGGAAAGAGGGCGTGCAAGGGGAACCCGTGTCAGGAAGCAACTTACCTCCACGGAGCGAGAGAGACACGTCACAGGACAAACCCTTCACTCTGATAATAGAGTACTAAGAGGATTTGTCATGTGCAAGCAACAGGTACATATGGCATGAAACATGACAGCCAGCAAACACTTAACACAGGATGCGGGGGAGGTAAAGCGACCACCTAAGTTACCAGAGACTCCACGAACTAATGCGTGGAATGCCACAGGTCCCACAGGTCTATCCATACTCCATTCCCACGGGCTTCCCACCACGAGTTCCCTCTCTCTCCTGAGTTCCCAAGTCCCCTGCCCTAAGAGACCCCAGAAATGACTTGCACCCTGGCTTCTAATTCCAGCTCTGGCCAGCAGATGTCCCTTAACTAATCCACTAACATGGCAGGAATAAGCTCTCAGAACATACTAAGATAGAAGCAAGCTTTAACAAAGAACCACTACTTTAGTTAAAAGCACCTCTGAGGATGAACCCAGCCAGAGGTGATGGGCTGCCACCCTGGGCCAGAAAGGACTCTGCAGTCAGGGTGCAGAGGAGCAGAAGCCCAGGGCTCTGTGCTGGTATTTAGGGTACGGGGGTAACCAGGTGTCAACTCGCAGACCAAGCTGATGCCTGGCACCACAGACATTTCACAAATGTAAAACAGGCCACTACGAACACAGAAACTTTTACTTTAAGACGTCTAAAATTACCACCACACTTACTTCTTTATACAGATTAAATAATTCAGTTCAAGGGTATAAGGAAAAGAAAAATAAACGATTAACCTGCTGGAAATAAAGCCAGGGTCTCTCTACCTGCAGGATTCCTCGTGTGTTATTTCCTATCCTCTAACCCTTTGAGTGAGGCGAGCCACACTCTAAAAATGTCTCCAGCATCATCTGGACGGGGGACTGGCTCCTAACACGCCTGCTGACCTTCGATGGTGATGTTCTTCACCAGCACGGGCTTGACCGCCTTGGAGCCCATCAGGATGCCCGTGGTTCTCCAGTAGAGGATGTTTGTGCCTGACTTCAGCTTCACCTGGGGACAGACACGCAAGAACGTGCTGAGGAAGCCTTCTGCTTCCAGCTGCGCCCAACAGCTATTCTCCTATCAATTTTCCTGTGCATTATAATGAAAAATCACTGATTTAGAACCAAGACATTTATGTCTCCTGTTAATTCTGACCAAAGCTGTGCTGAATGTAACGTTTCCACAAAAAGCAGTCTGCCAATCCACACAATGGAGTAAGAAAGGAGGAAGGGAAGCCTTTAAGTCTGAGCAAACAGACGAAATGATTCGAGCCCCTTGCGGGAAGTCCCGCTGTGTGCTGGAAGGGCCTCCTGTCACAGGGTGCCAAGCTCTGCTCCTCTGCGTGTTCCTGACCAGGACGTCCCTGCTGCAGCTGGGATGTGGTTCCCAGGAAGCGTGGCCGGCGAGGCTGCTTCTGGCCTGGTGGGGTTAAGAGGTGGGGCTGGCGGGAGCCCTGCCCGAGGAAGATGACTCAGTCCTGTGGATACAGCGAGCTCCCGAAGCCCCTGCGCCTCTGTGTGCAGCAGGTCACCAGCGATGGCTCTCACTGCCCACCAGTCCTTCCCCAGACAGGCCCTGTGCTGCAGCCAGGCCCTGAGCTTCTAAAATGTGAGCCACACAGGTCCTGTCTCTCTGTAAAGCATCCGGAGTCAAGCCCTTCACTGCTAACACGGCTCCTCTTAAAATCCATCCAGCAGCAACACGAGAACCTGGCACTGTTCCCACCATCACTCGACTTCAGCCTCCGACTCTAGGACTCGCAAGATGCCATGTCCAGCCCTGTCCAGCAGGGGAGCACTCTTCCATTCATAACTCCAACTGATTCATCCTGATGCAGCGAGTGGATCTTATGAACTCCTTGCCTTCTCCTTTGCACCTTACTCTGCGCAGGCTCTGCCTGGTCAAACTAAGCTGTAAAAGTTAAAGCCTGCCCAACTGCACCGCGAGAGAGCTGGACAAGTGGTGCACCTGGCACTTCCCCGTCACGGAGTCTTCTCAGGTGAAGACTGCGTGTCTGTGGGCACCCACCCAACTCGGGCCTAGGTGAGCGGATCCTCAGTGGTGCTGACATCAATCTGAAGCACACAGTTGAAAACAAGACCTCTGACAGGGTCCAGTGCACTCTCCACTCTGCTCCAAGCACAGAGGCAGGGACAGCTTCATCCATCCGACCAGAACTCAGTCTGCCCTGCAGGCACCACACTGGGCCCCGCCCAGATATCATCCCACCCAACCTGCAAGATCGCTCCATCTCTGAGATGAAAAACATAGCTGCGGAAAGATTAATGCAGTAACCTAGAGAAACACAACCGTGAGGCAGAGCTGGGTTTTAAATCCACGTCTTCCTCCAGAGGAACAACGATTTGACTAACAACAGCTCCCAGGGTCCCACTATCTGACAATCCCATCTCTGGTGGAGGGAGATACCCTGTGAAGACGCACACAGCTGCTGCATTCGACGTGACCAGAGAGGCAGGGTCTTGACCAATGGGTGGCAAATGTCAGGGCTCCAAACAGGTGAACTGCATCAGAATCGAGCCTGCCAACAATGAGGCCACACAGGACTCAAGAAAACCGAGCTTGCAAATCACTCGTGGACACTGCAGAGAAAGTTGTACGAAAAGAATTCCAAGGGCCTCCCAGTGACAAGAGCCCCTGGTTCTAGCCCCTGGGACGGGCCCATCTGGAAACCCACACACACGAGCTGTGGGAGCCTGTGTGTCCACTCGACCAGCCTTCTTTCCTTTAGTACCACAAGGGAGGAAGTCAGAGTGTGGTGGGAAGGGAAAGGGCAGGGAATCTCAGGGAACGACAAGGTTAGAAAAATAAACGACAAATAGGAATCTGAGCTCATGAAACTTAGGGACAACTTCTTTAAATGGAGATACTCTTAATTAATAGAAAATTATGCCCTCCTCTTACAATGCATGCTTAGAAAATGTCAGGAAGAGAAAGGAGAATGGGGTGGTGGTGAAGGAAGGAGAAATGGACTCACAGAATGAGAGCCCCACTGTCCGCTGTCCGTGAGCTTCACCCACTTGTCGGTGCTGGAGTCCATCTCCTGGCACTGATCGTTCTGAATCTGCGGGTCAAACACAAGGCTCCCAGTGAAGCTGTGAAATGAGTGCTCCTCAACCTCTGCACCAGCTCAGCTGCAAGGCTGCCTTTCCATGTCCCAACCAATGTACACACCTAGACCTCAGCACCAGTGACAACCGCACATGAGTGAGCGATCCCAAGCAAACCATCTCATAACAGAGAAGCCCGTTACGGAGAAAGAGGTGGCAGCTACCACCAAAGTCACTGTGGAAACCACCCACCTTACCTACATGTTCTAATGGCTTGCGTTCACCACGCAAGTCCCACAGTATAAAAATAAACATGGGTGATTTTTATCTTTGTGGCAGACTTTTGAGTTAATAAAGTGGGCTTTGCTCCAATTCCTGAGGACTTAACTCAGATGTGTAGGTGAGCAACGGTGGCCAAAATCAAAGTGCTATTTCCAATGACTACAGATATCTTGAGTGTCAAACACCTTCTAATTTCCCAATAACTCTTCCAAGATGCCAAGGGGTTAGGATGCTACTTTTCTAGATCTCTTCTGAGGATATTCACTGGAGCTCAGTTTGTGTCCAATTTCTATTCCAAGTACAATGACCATTTTAGTGTCAGTGTTGGGCCACCTGAAGGACGACATGGGCCCTGTACACATCTGAGGGGTGGTCGAAGATGGTGTCTCTCACAGGAGTTAGAGATCCCAAGCAACCATCTCGCTGTAAGCTGACAGCTTTTCTACCGCTGAGCCCAGACATTCTGAGATCCTGAGACACAGGAACGGCCACCCTCGTCATTCCGGAGACCGGGGCCCATGACCCACGACCCATTCTGAAACAGAAGCAGGCGTATCTCGGGCCAAGCCCTTACTCTCTCTAGGTTTCAGTTCCACCATGTAAGAAAAATGGTGTGGAAGAATAAAAGTCCACATAGCTTTGAAATTAAATATTGCTTTAAACTAACAATGCTCACTTTTAATTCTCAAAGCACAACCACATCTCCCAGCCTTCACAGGTCTCCCTTCTGTTAACCATTAGGACAGCAACTCTAAAGTGCTGCGCACCGCCCCCCAGTCAGCAATTGCAGCCTACAAAATGTCAACAAAAGGAGGAGTAGAATTCACCAGCCCTTTCCAGACCACAGCCGGAAGAACGAGGCGCCCTTAGGAGGAAGGAATGAAACAAACATTAGCTCAAGAGCACTTGACAGTCCGCGCTCAGGGACTATTGGGCAACACAAAGCTAAATACTCATTCCAACCATCAGCTAGCAGCCGGCTTGCTACTTTAATTTTAATGACACTGTTGAAATGTCCCAGGAACTAGAGAATCATTCATTCTGAGAAGGATTATGCAAATAAAATGTAGCTTAAAAAGTAAATGTGATTACATGTTGCTTAAACTCATCAAAGGCTATTACTGCTAAGAGGCTCCTTGAGACACCTTCCCAAGGCTCCTGAACAGAGGCAACGAATGCCAGGAACGGAAGTGTGGCTTCATGGCTCAGTCACACAAGCCAGCCATCACAAGTGGGGGCCAGACCCAGAGTCTCCGAGCTTCAAATCTAAGGCGCGTATTCTTATGGAAAATGCCCCTTGGCACTAAACTTTTGATGTAGACATTCTTAGTACCGCTACTACCGAGGGCAGTCACAACACATTGTTTACTGTAAGAAATCAATCTGAAAACACAAGCCTTGAAGTCACTGCCACGATAAATATTTGCTCAACTTAGTACAGCTTACATGGAATAATTTAGTGGTTATTCTGTGGGTCTGTTATTGTGCCTTGTATTGCGCTATATGCTATTTAATTAGACCAGGAGTAACAACTATCCCTGATTTTTTAAACTTTATGAAATTCACAGAAAGAGAAGCATACAGCCACTTCTACTCTTGAAATAACTGAAATAAATGAGTACACTTAAATAATTCTAGTTGGTAAAAAAAATCTTCTCTTTGAAATTGCTAAGAAAAAAATATTTCAAATAAGAACTAAAATTAGCGAAAGTATTTTTTTTTTTTGGTACCGGAAATCAAACTCATGACCTTGCACTTGTCAGGCAGTCACTTGTGCTCAGAGCTATATCCCTGGCCCAGCAAAAGTATTTTTAACAAAATGACATTTACAGCCATGAAAAAATGAATTTAAAATGAATCTTGGGGAAAGTACTAGTCACACACAGGCTAAACCTAATGACCATCCAACGGGTGTAGCCCCAGGCAAGCGTGCAAAGAAAAAATGTGGACAACTAGAAGACAAATACTACAGAAAAATTAACTCATCTTAATATCAAACTGAGGCATAAAGTGTAATGGAATGATGCACTAAGGGAAATTTATATCAATGTCCTTAAAAAGAAATTCTCTATGATGAATATGATCATTACATATATCCAAATTATAACAATAAACTTAAGAAAGAAAAAAAAAAAGAACATCAAGAATATGAAAAGCCTTACAAAGAACTCAAAGAAGATGTTGTTGTCCACGTACTGGTACTCAAAGAAGATGTAGCCGGACTTCTTCAGGTGCACAGCGTAGATCAGCGACACTGTGCAGTCATCTCGATTTGACTCAATGTAGTTTCCGCGAGGGGTCCAGGAAGAGCTGTGGAAACACCAGGCAGGGTTTATGCAGTGTCCCAGCATCCAGAGTCCACCACTGGTCACAGCGCTGAAGCAGATTCACAGCAGCTCCACAGTGGCGCATCGCCAGAGAGACCAGGCTCCAGCACCTCAAAAGTGACTTCCATCACTGAGAAAACGCCTATTTTTTATGGCACCTGACTTCTTAATTTTGTAAGGCTCTGTGATCGATTTGCTATGAAATTGCTATTTTTTATCAAAAATTTGATGACCAAAAAGGTGACCCCTACAGCCTTGAGTAAAATTGTTCTCTGAAATACCATCCACATTTTATTTATAAATACACACATACCTGTGCACACACACTGCAAATATATGGAAAACAAGACAGTACAACAATGGTAAGGAGATCAACATATAAAGTTATGCTTTTTCATCTCATAGGTTCTTCAGCAAGTCATGGGTCATAAGAATTGAAATTCTTGTGAATGATGGAATTGGTTTCTTTTAAGTTCCTAAATCTTGTTAAGGTTAGTTCTTAAACAATCAATTATTTAAAAAGCAGTATCATCACACTGCAGGGTTTATGATATGTTTTTAAATATATGACAATATCACAAAGATAAGGGAGTAAATATACCAATACTGGTACAGAGTTTCACATTATGCAAAAGGCAATGTCTCTACACTACAGTCAGAATACAGATTGCCACTTCTAGCCTTTACAATCTAGGAGTAGCAAAGATATGCTAAAATATAAAAAACACTAGCCATGATAGAAAAGAATTGGTGAATTATATTTTTAAGGTGTAAATGTCTGATTACCAAAGAACATCCTTAAAATAAATAGGTGGCACAGTGGTGCACACCTATAATCCCAGCACTCTGGGGGCTGGAGCAGGAAGGTCACGATTGAGCAGAGGTGGCAACTTGGTGACTCAGTGAGATCCTGTCTCAGAATTAGAATAATTTCAAAAAAGGACTGGGATGCAGTTTGGTAAGAGGGCCCTCTGTTTAATCCCAAGTACTGTGGAAAGGAGGGAGGAAAAAGGAGAGGAGAGGAGGGGATGGGGAAAGGAGGGGAGGGAGGGCAAAAGGCCAAACCACAAATCTGGAGGAAATGTCACACACATGGACACACTCGTGTGTATATATAGTAAAAGTACATGTTGTACACAAGTACTCGCATTCATAACATACAAAGAACTCTTTTAGCTCCATGATGAAATCTGCTATATGGCCCAACCAATGAAAAAAAGGAGAACATGAGGTCAGGTGGGTAGGAAAAAGAAAGAAAGGAAGAAAAGCAGCAAAATCAAAGATTCACCTTGAGAAAATTATACCATGTAGACTTCTGCTCATCACTGAATTTCCTTGATGAATCACTTACTCCCGGTACAAAAGGAAATCACATCAACATCTGCAGTCCACCAGACCAAAGACCACAGTCCCACCCGTTCCACTAGCGACTGACGCTCAGCAACGGTTATTTACACCACAGAGTCAGTGGGCGGTCACACGGCTATGGCTCGGGTACTGTGCATGCCTGTGAGATTCATGATGCACAGAAAGGACTGGCAGAACACTGAGCTCTGAGAGGGCACTCAGAGAACTCAGCGGGCACTGAGACAACTGAGAGAGAACTGAGGGCATTGAGAGGGCACTGAGGGCTCTGAGAGGGCACTGGGAGAGAACTGAGGGAACTGAGAGGGCACTGAGAGAAATGAGAGGGCACTGAGAGAACTGAGAGAGAACTGAGAGAACTGAGAGAACTGAGAGAGAACTGAGAGCGAACTGAGAGAACTGAGGGAGAACTGAGAGAGAACTAAGAGAACTGAGGGAGAACTGAGAGAACTGAGGGAGAACTGAGAGAGAACTGAGAGAGAACTGAGAGAACTGACAGAGAACTGAGAGAACTGACAGAGAACTGAGAGAACTGACAGAGAACTGAGAGAACTGAGAGAACTGAGAGAGAACTGAGAGAACTGAGAGAGAACTGAGAGAACTGAGAGAGAACTGAGGGAGAACTGAGAGAACTGAGAGAACTGAGGGAGAACTGAGAGAACTGAGGGAGAACTGAGAGAACTGAGGGAGAACTGAGGGAGAACTGAGAGAGAACTGAGGGAGAACTGAGAGAACTGAGAGAGAACTGAGAGAACTGAGAGAACTGAGAAAACTGAGAGAACTGACAGAGAACTGAGAGAACTGAGGGAGAACTGAGAGAACTGAGAGAACTGAGGGAGAACTGAGAGAGAACTGAGAGAACTGAGAGAGAA